AGTGGAGACAGGTTTCACCATGTTGGCCAGGATGGTTTCCATCTCTTGACCTTGTGATCCATCCGCCTCTTCCCAGCCTCTCCCGTATGCCACTCCCAAAGTGCTGGGATGACATGCATGAGCCACTGTGCCTGGTCAGCCTATTCTTGCTCATGAACTGATCCCTAGCTTCTAACACATAAAAAGGACTCAATAAACATTAGCTGAATGATATAAAACTAAGCATATCACACTTTGCATTCTTATCTTTTAAAACACCAAAAGAGATTAAAGCAGAAACAAAGAAGGTGGGTCATTTGTCCTGACTCTTGACATCAATAATAAAAGGGACCTCCTTCATTCCTCTCTATTCTCTCCCCTTGACCTCACTGCCCAAGTCAGAACCCACCAAGATAAATCCCCCTCAGGACTGAGTCTTATAATTTACAGCTGTGCTCCGGGAAAAACCTTGGCCTAGAAGTTGGGACCATTCTTAACTTGCTGTGTAACCTTGGCTTTCTGAATGTGTTTCTTTATCCCATTTGCCATAATCCCAGAGCTTGCTAAGTGCTAGGAACTGTGCTAAGTAAAGTTAAATTGCTTGCCCAATGTCCCAGAGTTTCAATCTACAGATTCAGCCTTGAACACAGCCCAGGAATTCAGTTCAAAGCCTGTGATCTAATACAAAGTCTTCACAGCCTCCAAGCACGCAACATGATTCAGATTTTGCAAACCCCATTCCTCAGAGTCCCTGACTTTTCCCTGGAATCCCAGGGAGCCTGGGATCTCGTGGAGCTCTTGGACTGCTCCTGCCCCAGAGAAGCCTGCAGGGAATGCTTTGCCAAACTTGCTGCTGGCAGGAGACACTATGCCACAATAAACCCCAGGACAGATCTGGATCTGCAAGTGGCCAGCTGTCTCCAGCCTGGCTCATGATGGCTATCCTCAGGTCAGAACAAAGTGCCTCCAATAACCTGGTTATTAATCTTGACTCACTGTCTCCCAAGCTTCTCCCATGCGCCACTTCTCTGGCCCAGAATAGGTTGGCCCCATCGCGCCTCTCTATCAGGCACTCCTCCTGCAATCCTGGTAGATCTCACAACTCAAGTGTGCCACAGTCGTTTGTGAAATGGGAGCTTGCTCATTTTGGGTTTCCTCTCAATCCAGAGAAACATTCATGTTTTAAGGGGATTCAGAAAATAGCCCCCTGGCAATACTGGTGTGGGTACCCCCAATTTCAAACAAGTAAACTGAGGCTCAGTTAGGAAATTGTGGATGAGCTGAGCTGAAATTCTAAGATTGTTTTTTAGATGTTCAGGGAGAGAGAAACCAATATAGTCAATAAGGTTCAGCTTTACTTTCTGGGCAAGAAAAAAGGTAACACTACTAAGGTTTCTGATGAAGGAGGCACAATATAATTCATACATTTTCTGTGTCATGGGCTCTTGGTAACAGTGTGGGCAACAGCTTCAACTCTACTTCATTCTTCCATCCAGTAGTGATTCATCCCATGCCAGATTTGAGCCAAGCCCCAAACTAAGTGATGGGAAAGAGAGGGTAGTGGACACAGACTCTTCCCCAAAAAGACCAGACCCAGAAACTTTATGATTTCATGACGCCGTATCTGATGACTTCTGAGGTCAGAGGGGAGGATCTTTCCAGCTCAGGAAGGTTGATGGCTCATGACATCTTCATGCAAGGGGTTGCCCTTGAGGTTTGACTTTTAAGGATGGGATAGAGGTGGGGAAGAATCTCAGCAAAGAATTCTTCATTCTTTTTTCTTTTTGTTTTTGTTTTTGAGACAGAGCTTCCTTCTAGTTACCCAGGTTGGAATGCCATGGTGCAATCTCGGCTCACTGCAGTCTCCGCTTCCCAGGTTCAAGCAATTCTCCTGCCTCAGTCTCCCTGGTAGCTGAGATTACAGGCAGATGCCATGACGCCCAGCTGATTTTTGTATTTTTAGTAGAGACAAGGTTTCACCATGTTGGTCAAGGCTAGCTTTGAACTCCAGACCCCAGGTGATCCGCCCGCCTTGGTCTCCCAAATTGCTGGGATTACAGGTGTAAGCCACCATGCATGGCCAACAGTTCTTCATTCTTAATAACTCTTGAATCCACCTTCTCCCCACCCCCACAGTCACTTCCCATGTCCTCCCAAATCAAGACAGGCCAACATCATCTCTCAATCTGCAATGCCTGTCATAGTTTCTGCACTGGTTTTTTCCACACTTCCCTCCCAAATCCACCTGATATATTTGAATTCTAAAATTCAAATCTGGTCTTGCCACTCCCCTGCTCCAAACCCTCCCATAGCCCCCTATTGCCTTAAAAACAAAGGCCACTCACCTTATGCCCTGCAAGATCCTGCACAATCTGGTCCCTGCCACCCTCCCCTGGCATTCTCTGCCATGACATTTATATGCAGCATATTACCAAGGTGCTCAGGGTGCCTGCGATACACCGTGCTGGGTTTGCCTCCACGTCTCTGCATACAGCATCACCTCTGCCCAGAATGTCTTTCCCACCACATCCTCAACAGAGTCCCTGGCTAATTCCTATGCATCTGTCCCCTGCCTTGGTACCACCTGCTGAAGGAGGCACTTTTTTTTCTCTCTTTTTTGAGACAGTTTCGCTCTTGTTGCCCAGGCTGAAGTGCAATGGCGCAATCTCAGCTCACCGCAACCTCTGTCTCCCAGGTTCAAGTGATTCTCCTGCCTCAGCCTCCTGAATAGCTGGGATTGGGATTATAGGCGTGAGTCACCATGCCCAGCTAATTTTTGTATTTTCAGTAGAGACGGGGTTCCTCCATGTGGTCAGGCTGGTCTTGAACTCCTGACCTCAGGTGATCTGCCCACCCCGGCCTCCCAAAGTGCTGGGATTACAGGTGTGAGCCACTGCACCTGGCCTGAAGGAAGCTTTTTATGCCCACCACCACCCCTCCTTACTCCTGGCTGGGGCACATACCAACAATCAGTCTTCACAGAAACCCACAGACTAGGATTCAAACCAAGGTCTGTGTGACCCTGGGGCTCCAACTCTTAAGGAAGATGTCCTTCTGCTGCAGTGAATGGGGATTGGGACACAGGAGACCGTGGAGGGAAGATGCTTCCACTCAATTCCATCCTGGTCTTTAAGAGTAGAAAGAGGAGAGAGTGGGAGGAAGCATTCCCACACAGATGTGGCAGGCATGGGCAGTGGGCAATGGAGTTGACTAGGTGCTGCCAGCAGGAAGATCAGTGGCTCCCACACTTCACACCAGTGTTAGGGTGGATCACAGCTCCAGAGTGGACCCCAGCACCCGATGTTTCCCCAGCTCAGCTCCCCCAGTGACTCTGCAATGAAGCCATTTGAAGGGTCCCTTGCTCAGAGGGGAACAGACATTGAGCCAGGATGTGGGTGCCAGACAAGACCCATTTCGCAAGATCAGGGCCCAGACAGAAGCAGGCTCCGACCCTCCTTGAGTGGAACCCGTGTTCTCCGTCCACATGTTTGCTTTCCATTTCACTCTTTTTGGATAAAGAAGAGAGACCTCAAAGGCTGAGCCAGAGAAAAAGGCAAGCCACAAAAGGGGAGGCTATTAAGGGATGGGAAGGCCACTCGTCAAAGGTACAGGAGGTTTAACTCTCGGGTCTGACCCAGCCACCAGTCAGCCATGTGACCTTGGGTAGGGCATATGTCAACTCTGGGCTTCAACTTCCAACTCCATAAAATGGACAGGGGGAGGAGAGACAATTTATTTATTCATTAATTCAACAATTATTCACTGAGTGCTCTGCTAAGCCCCAGAAACCAAGCATTGAGCAAGACAAGGTTGCTGTTCTCAAGGAGCTTACGACATGGAGGGGCAGATGTCAACTAGAGGAACACACACGCAGGTGGAGTGAGCAATAGGGAAAGGGGAAAGAGATGCTGGAGGGCAACACAGAGCCAGAACTTGAAGGAATTTGCTCCTAAAGTCTGTGAAGCCCCGCCCCTTGTCACTCCTAAACCTCCTTTATTCCCGCATGAATGAAGAAAGCATCATTCAGTGGTCATACCCCTGGGATCCGGGGTCAGATGCTGCCTTGCCCAATGCTTTGCATTCAAGATGGCAGCTCCATGCCATCAAGCCTTCCAGCCCAAAGAGCCCCCTCCGTCCCTTCCCCCACTCCACTGATGCGGATCCCCTAGACTTCCACTTTCCCCCATTTTTCTCTGTGCACTTCTCGCCTTTCATTTCTGACCAAACTTCAGATGACGGGAACACTGATAAATTAATGATCGCAATTAATAAAAATTGACTCTGTGCTAATAAATTATTATGAAATGGCCTGTCAGGTTTTTTAATGAAATGCAAAAAGCTGCCGTAATGAAATGAGTGTGTGCACTTTCCCAGCCAAGACGTGAGGAAATACATCCACAGGGTGCTCAGGGGTCTACGAAGAAAGAATCTGGCAGAAGGAAAACAGGACTGGATCAATGCGTTTGGAGGAGCAACTCCTGGCTTAGACACTTAGGCTGTGTTATTTGATAGTATCAGCTCATGAGGTAGATACTGTTATTACCTCTCACTTTTACAGATAAAGAAACTGAGGCCCAGAAAGGGAAAGAAACAACCCTAGGTCCAAAGCAATTATGCTGCGGATCTATGAACAAACCAGATATTTTGAACTCCAGACCCCTCTCCCACTTAGTTACCCACTTCATTATACAGCATTGATTCAACCTTGTTTTGCAGATCCAACCCTGTTTTGTAGATCTGTGATCAACCCAGATATTTGGACTCTAGACCCCTTAGCCAACCCACTTAGTTAACCACTTAATTATACATCCTTTTAAAAACTCAAGACTTGAGACCAGGCAGTGGTTCATGCCTGTAATCCCAGCACTCTGGGAGGCTAAGGCTGGCAAATCACCTGAGGTCAGGAGTTTGAGACCAGACTGGCCAACATGGTGAAACCCTGTCTCTACTAAAAATATGAAAAAAAAAAAAAAAAGTAGCCAGGCATGGTGGCACATGGCTGTAATCCCAGCTACTTTGAAGGCTGAGGTAGGAGAATTGCTTGAACCCAGGAGGCAGAGGTTGCCGTGAAACAAGATTGCGCCACTGCACTCCAGCCTGGGCAACAGAGTGAGACTCCATCTCAAAAAGAAAAAAAAAAATACCTTGGGACTTGGAAGCAAGAGGCATGAGGTCAAAGTCTGATTCAGTCATTTGACATTGTGATTTGGATCACGTTGCTTAACCTCTCTAAGTCTCAATTTACCCATCCTCACAATGGAGATAGCAATACCTCTTTCCCATGGTTTTGTGCATGGACATGTGAGAAAGAAGCAAGATGATGGATGTGAACACATGTGGCCCTAACAGCACCCTTCCTCCCTTTCCCAAGAGTTTGGCATAAGAAATTATGTCTGTGAGAAGGGGAAGCATTGCAAGGAAAAGGGTTCAATGTCATGGAGAGGAGCCATGGTGGTACCTTCATTTATCCCCCATCCCAGCTCTATGGAGTGTTTAATATTACAAGGTTGTCCCAGTTCTTTGTAAACTATAGCCATGAATGTAAAACAACCGATTTTTACAACAGAATTGTTTAACCCTGCACCAATTAAAAGTACCTGTTATTAAAAAAGGTAATTATGCCGTAATTAGTTTGACACAAGACATTAAGCAGATTATTATCAAAGCCAGGGAAATAGTAACTTCAAAGCAATTTCCTCTCTTGAAAGAGGCATTTACATGCCGCCATCGGAACATGATCCTTACTCCAGGCACTTCTGAATGCAGGGAAATGTGATGCCTAACTCTTCCAAGCAGCTTGGAGCTTTATGGCAGGAAATGCCCGCATTGCAAATGAACTTGGGTGGCTGGGCTGCAGAAATTATTCCCAGAAAACCCACATTCTGGGTTAGGGACTGGCTAGGCATTATCAGCCTGGCCGGAGCAAATATGGGCAGAGGCCACTGACAAGACCAGGAGGACTAGAGGACCTGCACTCAACACCCATATGTGCAAGCACCGTGTTTAGATTTGTTGATATTCTTTCCCAGACTCCCCAAAACCAACCTGTAAGGGAGGAATAATGAGACACCTCTTTGAATAAAGAGACAGAAAACAGGTTTCCAACCACTAACGTGGTGACAAGGGGGAAAACTGAACGTCCCTATTCCAACTAATGAGAAGAAAACCACTTTCCCTAGCAACAGTGTTATTCAAAATACATATCAAATCAAGTCCCCTTTCCCCCAGAGCAATCTTTCAGGGGCTGGATTCTTCCCAAAGACTCTGATCCTCTCTCTCACTGTCTCTCTGCATCCCCCTTCCATGCCCTTTACCCGCTTTCTCTTCTCTCACTTTCAGATTCCTGGGGGAGGCAGGATGGGCATGATCATTGGAGAACCAGCATTCCAAAGAGCAGCTCAGCTCCAGTGCCCACTGATGTTTCAGAACCAAGGTCAGCGGCACAGGTGCTCTCCTTCCCATCGCCATCCTCGACAATAAAGTCCACCAGTAACCGAGGTCCCATCTCTGCTCCTTACCAGCTCTGTGTGGCCTTGGATGACTGATGCAACCTCTCTGAGCCTCAGTTTTCTCTCCTGCAAAATGGGATAACAAGAGCATTTAACTTTAAGAGCCATTGTAAAGAATGAGAACTATTACTATTTTTAACCTGGGTTTTCTGACTGCTGACTAGTGTGTTCCCATGAGCCTATAGAGCTCTGTTCCCTAAAAGACAGAAAGAAAAAACATATACACATAAAAATGTAAGGCAGGCAAAAGGGCAAAAACAGATGGTTCAAGAAGTAAACTAGGTCCCTCTTCTCCCAAAGCTATACAAACACTGTCTATTTTATTTAGCCATCAAGATGCAAATTTCCCTTTCTCTGGGTAGGCTTGTAATATTAATTATTATATATGACATTTATGCTTTGCCAAGCATGCACTAAGCATGTTCCATAAATTACATCATTCAAAATCTCAACCACTCTGTGAGGAAGGTAATATGTAACATCAACTTTATTCATTTTGCAGATGAGGACACTGAGGCTCAGAGAAGGGAGATAACGTGCTTTGCCATCTTAAAGATAAGTGACAGAGGCAGTATCTGGACTCAGGTGTCTCTACATATAGACTCACCCAAGATGCCTCCCTGCTCTGGCAGATCACATAGTCTGGTGGAGAGAGATAAGCTATTAGAAGCGAGCACTAAGTACCAGGTACATAGTTGGTACTCAGGAAATGTGTTCTCTCCATTATTCTCCTTAGTGCTCAGTTCCCCACGTTTCAATTGAGGGGTTTGGACAGGTCTTCTCAACAGGCCCATGTATTCAGTACATGCTGTCAGAAGAGCATCCCAGGACCCAGTGCCTGCCCTCTCTGAGGGCTGTCACTCTGAGGCCTCACCTGTGTTCTTAGGGCCCCTATGTGAGCTTCTTGCCTGCCCTCAAAGGCTCTAGAATCTGGGAAGAGCTACAGGAGCTGATCCCAGCAGTGGGGCTTCTAGCCCATCCTGCTGTTTCCATGACAACAATGCCAGCATCTATCTTCTTCAAACCCTCTTTCCAGTTCTGCCTCTTCCTGTCTCCTGTCATATCTGCCTCTGCTGGCTGCCCAGCAGTAGGATGCAGGATGAGGGGCCAGGACCAAGCGAGAATGCAGTGATAGGACATGCAGAAGAAGCAGGAAGAGAAGAAGGGTCACAACTGGGATGGATCAGGTTCAGTAGGGGGCAAGGAGGGATCTGAGGTCCTCCCACTAACCTCGGAAAATTTCATTTCTTCCTCTCTCCCTTTTAATTTCTGAGCACATAATTCACATCAGCCATTGTGCTAAACTTTTTACACACATTGCACTAACTGAGGTTCAGCTCAAGTATAATCTCCTATGGAAAGTTTTCTATAATTATTGTGCCCTCCTTCACCTACTGGTGAGGTAATACTTCCCACACTTCTTCATTCCTCCTGCATCATAACAAATATCTTCATCCATTTTGTGTTGTTATAAAGGCTGGGTAATTTATAAAGAGAACAGTTTTATTTGGATCACAATGCTGGTAGCTGAGAAGTTTGAGATTGGGCATCTGATGAGGGCCTCAGGCTTCTTCCACTCATGGTGGAAGGAAGGCAAAGGGGAGCTGATGTGTACAGAGACCACATGGAGAGAGAGGAAGCAAGAAAGGTGGAGGGAGGTACCAGGCTTTTTCTCAGAAAGCAGCCCTTGCAGGAACTCATAGGGTAATAACTCACTCACTCCCAAGGGAGGGTATCAATCAGTTCATGAGGGCTCTTCCCCATGACCCAAACACTTCTCATTAGGCCTGATCTCCAACACTGGGGACTAAATTTCAACATGAGGCTTGGAAGGGACGGACAATATCCAAACTATAGCACTGTTTTACTTGAACTAACATCTCGATTCTTATAATGGCCTTATGAGGTAGGTTCTGTGGTTATCTAATGTTGACTGCTAGTATCCTCCGATAAATTATCAGGTGGAGAAACCAAGGCTAATGGTGGCTAAACCACTTGCTTGTGAGCAAACTGCTTAGCCTCCATTTATTATTTATTTATGGATTTATTTATTTATTGAGATGGAGTCTCACTCTGTCACCCAGGCTGCAGTGCAGTGGCATGATCTCGGCTCACTGCAACCTCCACCTCCTAGGTTCAAGTGATTCTCCTGCCTCAGCCTCCTGAGCAGTTAGGGTTACCACGTCCGGCTAATTTTTGTCTATTTAGTACAGTCGGGATTTCACCACGTTGTCCAGGATAGTCTAGAACTCCTGACCTCAAGTGGTCCACCTGCCTCTGCCTCCCAAAGTGCTGGGATTACAGGCATGAGCCACCTAGCCACCACTTAAACCCCACTCTATCTGGCTGCAGAACCCAAATCTTTCCACTGCACCAGGAGGACTCCGGGATCAATCCAGCTGAGAGAAACAAAAGATGTCAACATGTTTAGCTATTGATTTGCATCATGAATTTGAAGAGGAGCTGATGTGACCAACGTTGTGGACTGGATGTCAGCAGGGACCAGTCAACTGGGTCTGTGGTCTCTGAATGCCTCCTTAGTTTCAGCCATCATCTCAGGAATGCATGAGTGTTTCCTGGAGGAGAGAAGCAAGTGGGTCAGGAGTGACTACCCTCAGCTCTGAAGCCTGAGAAAACCTCTTCCCAGGGAGTTGGTGCAAGGTACCATGTGTACAGAAAACCTCTCCAAGGACCTTGAGTGGAATACAAAAGCGCACCCACTCTGAATCCTCACAGGAGGCTCACAGCTGGTAGATGTGATAGACCATCCCTCCCACACTCATAATATAGACTGGAAAACTTCTTCCAGGGTAGGAACAAGTCCAAGGCCATCTGGCCATTAGAAAGAGGCAGAGCCAGGACTTGAACTCAGGTCTGCCAGATTCCTATTTTAGGTCTCTTTCTTCTAGCCCTGCATTAAAGCAGCCAGAGGACTAAGCCAGAAGGACCGGTAGTCATTCTACCCTGCGACAGCAATAAAAAAGGTACCATTGGCCAGGGGCTATGTGAAACACTTGGTTTGGTACATTAATTTAATTTTCAATACACTACAAAATAGAAATTACTATTAAGCCCATTTATGAAAGAACTAAGGGCCTATGTTCATTTTTTGCTGCTGCTAAAACAAATGTGCATATACTAAGTGACTTCAAAATATCAGGAGCTTATTCTGTTACAGATTTGGAGGTCAGAGGTCTGAACTGGGTATCACTGGGCTGGAGTGAAAGTGTCAGCAAGGCTGTTCTCCATCTGGAGACTGTAGGGGAAAATCAGTTCCCTTTCCCTTTCCAGCTTCTAGAGGCTGCCCTCATTCCTTAGCTCTTGGCCCCTTCCTCCATCTTCAAAGCCAGCATCTTCAGACTTAGTCCTCCTCAAGCTGCCATCTCTGGGGTTCTTCCTGTCTTCTGCCTCCCTCTTCCACATTTGAGGACCCTTGTGGTTCCATTGGGCTTATCCATATAATCCAGGATAATCTCCCTCATTTTAAGGTCAACTGCTTTGCAGACTTAATTCCATCTGCAATCTGAATACTCCTTTGCCACATAACCTAACATAGTCACAGGTCCACACGGGGCATCTGGGGTGGATCTCTGATGGAAATAAGTTTTCTGTCCTCCACGGAGTCAGTGAAGATGTTGCTCAGGAAGAAGGCATCCAAGCCAGGCCTTGGAGACAGAGTGGGTTGGAGGTTAGAGCCTGCCTCTGTTGGGTGTCAGGAGAAAAGCAAACTGTGGGATATGTCCATACCTTCCCCAACTCAGCACATCTCTTGACCTCCCCATGCAGTATATGTCTTGCTTCCACCATTCAGAAATTTTTCCTGACCCCGGTACAGCTGGGTCTTTTATGCTCTGTGGCTTTTCATGTGCTGTTCCAGTCTCCATGACTTTCCCATTATTTCAGACTGGGGAGCATTGGTGGTTCCATGGCAGAATTCTCACCACCCATTATTTCAGACTGATTGACTCCGTCTTATCTTCCAGGTCTCCTCTGCCAAGCAAGTGGGACTCGGCTCCTCTGCTCCATTCTTCCCTTCCCTCTCTCTTCTGAGGCTGCTAGTTATTAACATAGATATTTTAACACACATGGCTCCACTCGGGTGAGAAATTATGCTAGAAATTTCTGGTGTCATTTTAAAAAAAAGAACTTTCTTTATATGTAATCTTCTAGCTAGTATCCACTTTAGACTCAGAAAATCTAAGTTACCTACGGCCTGACAAAGACAAGTACAACCTATTCCTGTCTCAAAATGTTTCTGAAATTAGAGTGAACATTGTGTTAACCGCCACAGTTAAAATCAAAATGATGGATTTCTCTTCCGAAATCGATCCTAAAATGTTTCCTCTTCTGGCAGTCAGAAAACTCATTCACCGTTCGTACTACTGTGATCCTTATAATCGCTTTTCGGAATTGCATTGTGACTACGCTTCACTCCGTAAGGATTAGGGTGGCCTTGGAGAAAAGAGGAGAAATGCTGACCTCACATAGAGGTACTTCCTGTCTCAGCTCTAAGGTCTTTAGATGCTTCCTGTGAGGTGTGAGCCAATCAGAGCAGAGCTGGGCTGAAACCTCCCAATTGAAGGAGGACTTCGTTAGCAGAGGGATGATGACAGCTCTAATGAATTGACATAGAAAATGTCTAACGTTTTCAGTCATAGGAATGCCAAGGAGACACCTCTAACTGGTGGATGCTTCCATTGAGAACTGAGTTAAATAATTTTGAGCACTGGAATGCTGCAAATTTAAAAAAAAAAAAAAAAGAAGAAGTGCCTCTCATTTAACAGCTGAGAAATTCAAATAACCATTAATCCATTTAGATGGTAAATCATTCATCACAGAATGTTCTTCCCTCACCCTGATTTTGAGGTCAGAGTACCTCCCCTTGATACTGGATACGTGACTTTGGGCAAATTACTTCCTCTTTCCAGGCCTCAGTATTCTCCTCCCCAAAAGGGGGAATCCTAGGCATTGCTGCACCAGGACACTGCAACTATCCAAGGAGATAATATAAGTACAAGACTTGGTGTAAAAAAAGGACCCATGAATGTTTCCTTCTTGGCCAAAAT